TTTTGGTACCGGGGATCAAACTCAGGCCCTTGCACTCACCAGGCAGGCATTGGAACCACTGAGCCAAATTCCTGGCCCAAGGGAAGAGTTATTCTTTAATGGTAATATTTTAGAGTGGTTTCCCTAATATTTGTGTCTTACATGTGTGTATCTGCTTTTATATTTTTCAGGCCAGTGTTTCTGCACCCAATTTGAAGAAGATTTCTGAACAGAAGGAAATATTAACAAAAGAATTAAATACTTTTAAACATGTAAAACTAGCTTTAGAATATCTTCTTAGAAAGACAGACTACAGACAAGTAAGGCATCAATACTAAGCACTCAGTGATGTTTTTCACTTGGAGAATATATAATTTCTGTAGCTATAAAAATTAAGTTACTGATATATTTGAAGTAGAAATAATTCTTTGAATTTTTTCCCATTAAGTTTATTGGTACATTTTAGGTAAACAATAGTTACATTCAGTATTGGGATACTTGATGTATCTTGATTCTTATTTTGTCCTAATTCCCTTCCATCCCTTCAACCCCTCCACTCCTCCCTATTTACAGAGACTTTGTTTCCATTTTTCCCTTTTCTCATATTTTTTCCTTTCCCTTCTTTTCTTTCCCCTACACTTCCTACTTCCCCTTTAGAACTTTTCTTCCTATTTTAATTCTTTGAATTTTTGTTTGAAATGGTAATTACTAAACGCATCCCTACTTTTAATGTTTCATAAATAGTTCTTAAAAACATGACATGTTTTTATAAAAAACAGATTTTTACCTTCTCTCCAAAAGACTTTCATCATTTATTAGACTTCATTTAGCTACTTGTAATAAAATACACATTCTTAGAGTTTATCCTCCTGTGTACGTTGTATACACACAGATGGTTTCTTTAAAATTAAAAAAAAATTTGATGCATAAAACATTTTATATATTAGGATAACAATGTTTTGACACATGTATAATTGTGTAGTAAACATATCTAACTCTTCAAACATTTATCTTTTTCATGGTGAAAATTTAAAATCTTTTCTTCTAGTGTTTTGAAATACACAATGGATGGTCATCAGTAGCTATAATCACCCTATTGTGCCATACACATTGGAACTAATTACTCCAATCTAACTGTGATTTAGTACCCATTGACCAACCTTTTTCATCTCTCCACTGCTCTGCCTGGCTTTTGGTAACTACTATTCTGCTTTCAACTTCTATGAATGCAACTCCTTTATTATTCCATATGAGTGAGATCATGCAGTGTTTCTGTTCCCTATTTATTTCACTTTACATTGTGATCTCTCTTATCAGGCTTTCATTATATTTTGTGGCTGAGTAGCATTGCATTGTGTTTATGTCCCTTTTCTTTCTCCATTCATCCCTTGAATGGAAGCATCACAGAAAGCGTTTTTCCTTTTCTTGTGAATAGTGCTGCAGTAATCACAGGAGGGCAGATTTTCTCTTCAACATACTGATTTAATTTTCTTTGGATATATATTCAGCATGTGATTGCTGGGATTACATGGTTGTTTTATTTTTTAAATTTTTGGAACCTCCACAATGGCTGTAAAATTCATGTTCCTATCAGCAGTATACAAGGTTTCCTTTTCTTTCTACATCCTTGGCGGCACTTTATTTTACTAGGGTAAAGCGATACTGACTGTGGTTTTGATTTGCATTTCCCTAATGAGTACTGATATTGAGCATTTTTTCATGTACCAGTTGCCCATTTGTATATTTTCTTTATTCTTATTGCCCATTTGGGGGTGGGGTGTTTATTTGTTTTTTGTTATTTGAGACAGGGTCTTGCTATGTAGCTCAGGCTGATCTTGAACTCTCTATGTAGTCCAGACTGGCCTCAAACTCACGGTGATCCTCCTGCTTCAGCCTTCTGAGTACTGGGATTACAGGTGTGCGCCACCATGCTCACACCCATTTTTAAATGTTTTTATTCTTTTTTTTCCCCCTGAATATAAACCTCTTGTCAGAACTACGATTTGAAAATGTTTTCTCTCATTCTGTACTTTGTCTCTGTAGTCTTGATTATTTCCTTCACTGTGTAGAAGCTTTTTATTTTGATGTAATCCCATTTGTCTATTTTTGTTTTTGTTTTCTGTACTTTTGGGTTCTTGTCTAAAAAGAATCCTTGCTCATCTAAGTGTCCTGAACTGTTTCTCCTACATACATGCATTCCTTTTTTTTTTTCTTTTTGGGTAAAGGCTTTATCAAGCTAAAATTCACATACCATATACTTCTCTCATTTTAAATATTAAGTTTATTGTTTTTTACTATTTCACAGAGTTGTACAGCCACCACCACAATCAATTTTAGAGTATTTTCATCACTTTAGGATGAAATTCTGTATGCCTCATATCCACTCCTGCCCCTAAAGGAGCCCCAGACATCCACTGCCTACTTCTGTTTCTGTGCATTTGCCTCTTCTGGATATTTCACATAAGTGGAATCATGATATTTGGTTGTTATGACTGCCTTCTTTCAGTTACAGTAATATTTTGAAGGTTCCATGTTTCAGCCTACATAGTAATTTATTCTTCGTTATTACTTATTAATTTTCTATTTATGGTTTTACATACCCATATCTATCCACTCATCAGTTGATGGATACTGCGGTTATTGATAATAGAGTGTTAAATGCAAAAGTAATTATTTAATATTTCTTTAATAAATAGGAATCAGTGTTTACAAATATAGTTGCTCTGAACCTTCCTTTCTAGTGTTGCGATGTGAACATACGGTTTCTTGCTTTTGTATCTGTACCCCGGAGTGGAATTGCTTTCCACATGTATTCTCGAGACACAGTCATATGCACACACTATAAACACACAATTTCCCCTCAATCTAAGGAAGAGTTTCCTTGGATCTGGAGCAGTGCTTCTCCACTTTTCCCTGGCTTTGCATGGTGCACATGCAGAGCAAAGTCTCAACCCTCCTTATCAAGCGTAGCAGTAGCATAGGAGGGACGGAAGGGTGGCACCTCGCCCCTGGGAGAAGCTGTTGTGGAGCCTCTCCCCAAAGTATAAAAACTGAAGCCTAACTTCAGATGCGTGGATGAGATATGGCAGTGATGGCCAACCTATGGCAAGGGCGTTATTGCAGTTCTCTTTTAAGACAGAAAGTTTTAATATAAAGTTGTATTTTTTTAACCCAAACCTCAGTATTCGACTTTAATTGTAGTGTTGGCACTTTGCAATAAATAAATGGGTTCTGGGTTTCAATTTGACCCTGGGTCTCTAAAAGGTTCACCTGGAATATAGAAGAATGAATTAGTACTGTTTTCTTTACTACTTTTTATCCTTTGTCAAATAAAAGAAATTACAGAAAATAAGGAAATGAAGTCATATTATTCTGTTTTATGACTTCAGTTTTGTATATGTGCTGCCGAAGCGAGCACTTAAGACTTCAGTTTTGTATTTAACACAGTATCGTAAATATTTTCTTAACTATTAAATATTTCAATAGAAAGGAATCTTAAGCTCTGTGAACCCTATGGGCCCTTTGAAATTGTGTGTACAGTTTTGCATTATATGCACATGTCTGTATTTTGGGTTAAAGAAAATTTGTAGCTTGATATTCTTAAGTAGGAATCTGACCCTCAAAAATGAATAAACATTCTCTGTGGTCTCATTTAAAATTGCTACGTAGAGTTCTGTTACTAATTTCAGGTCATTCTTTACAAAATTGTTATTGCTAGAATTTAGAGTGTTTATAATTTTTGCCTACTTATAAAGAGTAATATGTCAAAGTTCTTTTGTAATAGGGTTTTCGTGATATTTAAATGTCAATCGCCTAAATTTTTAGTGGTACTCTTTTGGGATTAATTTAATAAATTAACTGACTTCATAAATCATAGACAAAAAAGAATTTGGAACACTTAGACAAAAGTGTTTCTGATGGGTCCCTTAGGAATCTGAACTATACACAGTGGTTGTCTATAATTTTAAAGTTCTTTTGTAATAGGGTTTTCGTGATATTTAAATGTCAATCGCCTAAATTTTTAGTGGTACTCTTTTGGGATTAATTTAATAAATTAACTGACTTCATAAATCATAGACAAAAAAGAATTTGGAACACTTAGACAAAAGTGTTTCTGATGGGTCCCTTAGGAATCTGAACTATACACAGTGGTTGTCTATAATTTTATATACAGACAGCAGAACCACTGAGCTAAATCCTGGCCCTATATTAACTTTTTGCGTGGTGCTTATTCTACTTTTTTTTGTATACAGAAGTATACTTTGTGGACACTGATATATGACTTCCTCTCTTCACAGACAGGAGACAATTTACCAAGCATGTTGTTAAAGAATCTAACTGATAATGAAAGTGAAAACATTGTAAGTGATTCTTCACTTTGTATCCATTCCTTCTGACTTTTTTTACTTGTATAACATTACTCAATATTGTCTGAGTTGTGAAATTTCTTTTACATTGTCTTTTGGAGAATCTTAAGAAGAAGGTCCTTGAAAAGGAGAACTATATTCAAGAACTTTCCTGTTTGTTTCAGAATGAAAAGGTAAGCAAATTTTGAGCTTTTGAGGTGAATTCACTATAAACTTTTAATATGAACTCCCTCTTTCCTTCTCTCCATCCTGGTCTTATATCCTTAGAAGTAAATAAAAGAAAGGAGCACGGGGAAGGCTTTTTGACAGTGTAGATTGTTTGGAATATTGTGTAAGTAGCAACTTAATTTTTCTTAGTTTAAAATTTTTTTTTCTTTTAGAGTTTAGCATTTTAGTGAGTCTACTTGGGATAAATTAGCACAACTTAAGACCTTTGTATAAAATTGTGTTTAAATTTGGGAACAAATGAAAGAATTTTGTGTTTGTAGGAGTATTTGAGATGTACCTATAACTTTACTGAAGAGTACAGCTGGAATTTTTTTTATAAAGGATAATTATCAAGAATCATTGAATAAAATACGGGGAGAAAACTCCCTTGTTTTACATGAAATACATTCATGGTGAGGTGTCAGTTTGTATAAAGTATTTTGCTTTTGATATTGTGTCTGAATTGTAAAATTAAAAGTGGTGGGAAATAGCAAATAACTTTTTTTGTTTTTTTTATTTTTTCTTTTCTATTACAGGCAAATACATTGAAAGCAACCCGTTTTTCTCAATCAGTAAAAGTAGTACATGAACGATTGCAGCACCAAATAAATAAAAAGGAAGCAGAGAATGATAAGTTAAAAGAATACATAAAGGTTATAAATTCTTATCTATTTTTATAGTTTAACTGATAAAATTCATGAAAAACTAGAAAGCCATTCCTCAATTTTGGAATATGATAACTATAAAATAAGTCAGTTTGATCAATGTCATGGAAATCCATTTAAGGGAATGCTGGTCCTTCTAAAAATTTGGATCCAAATACAAATATAAATATACTATCTCTTTAGTACCATTCTGGTAGGGATTGTAAAGGTTGAATTACTTTAAATGTCTCTCATGATACAGTTAATTTATGTCTATTGCAGAAATTTTATAAAAAAACAAAATACTGTACACAGGAGAAAATCAAACCATTAAACATTCCAGAACCATTGTTATCATTTTGATATATGTGATTCCAGTCTTTTTTCTACATCTGTACATGCATTTATATATATGTGTGTGTATATATAAATATATACACACACATATATATAACACATTTAATAAGCAGTGTGTACATTTTTCTTATTAATTGTAAAAATTTCAAAATCAGTTAACCTAACTTTGATATTAGATAATTGAGTAATTCTTTCGTTATACATCTTTGTGAAATTATATACAATTATAATGTACAATTAAAGAAACAATGTAAACAATTAAAGTACAACTATAGGGAAGTTTTGGTTTATTTTTCTGTTGGCGACACTGTCACCTTAAGATAATTTGAAGTTTCTATCGTATGTAACGACTTACCTGGATCTACCATTATCATTTTTGCCAAAGGAAAAGAAGCAGTGTTGCCATCTTCAGAGAAGTGTATAGACTCACCCCAGGGAGTGTACAGAGTTATACTGAGAGTTGTACTTGCTTTTACACTCCTGAATTATAGCATATGTCTGCAACCTGTGGCTTGTGTTTCAGAGCTGTGCTGGGGTTTATGTATTCTCTCAGTGATGGAAAGCTTTCACTCTCTGTGAGGACACTAAGCAGGCTTACGGAGGGTGTAAATTTTGTTCATTATTCCTCCTATTCTTTTTCAGTATCTTCCCCTATTGATTCCCTGTTCTTTACATTCATGTTATAGGACACTGCAGACAAAATAGATATGGTATTACAGTCCTCTGTACGATAAATACAAGAGAAGATAATAATTGTGATCTAACACATCAAATAGTTGTCTACCCCAAATTATCTTTCACAACTTTTAATTATTTCCTCAAATAGCAGTTGGGAACGTTTTGAAAATACTCTTTTAAATTTAAAAATGAAACAGATTTTTTTAAAGCTAAGCTTAACAGTTTTTTTTTTTTTCTATATCCATGAAAATTTGGGGAAAACTTCAGGCTAAAATCCAAAGATTTTTTTCCATAACATTTTTCTGTCTGATTTCTTGTTAAAAATGCAGATGTTAAGAAGTGATTAAAAGAAGTTGCTGCCTTACATTGCTGACTTTTCTACTTCCCTCCTGTTTATGTACTTTAAAAACACTAAGTAATCATGTTAGAATTTAGTTATTTGATTTTAGGTATAAGAACTTTTTTGTTTTAGGTTTTGTTTTTGTTTTTTTGAGACAGGGTCTCACTATGTAGTTGAGACTGACCTGGAACTCACTATGTAGCCCAGGCTGGTTCCAAACTCACAGTGATCCTCCGGCCTCAGTCTCCTGAGTGCTGGGATTACAGGTGTGCACCACCACACGTCCAGCAGAACTTTTTTTTTAAAGAATAAAAACAGTGAATTTAGTTTGGCAACATAAATCTTAGTTTTTTTACTGTGTGGAGTTTATGGTAGTTGGTCTTTTAAAAATTTACTTTGTAATTCTCTGACAATTTTGAACAAATTTGTCTTTTAAAATCTTTGTAATGTAGCAGTTAGAATATTTTTTAATTTTAGAAAAGATAAGGACTAATTATCTGAATAATATTCAGCATATGTAGTTCTTTGGAAATAGGAAAAGGCAAATCATAGACTTTAAATATGTCCATTTGTCAAAGTACTGAGGATTTACTCTGAAACTAAGTATTTTGATAATTTTAGTATACTTCTTGATAGTTTGCTTAAGCTTGGGATTTAATAAAAACTAATAAGAAAATCCAGTTGTAAGCTTGTTTAAAAAATATCTTTATAAACTATCAAATATAAAGTTTTTAACATATGTATAGAACACTTACTCTTTCATGGTGTGATGGTGCCACCCTGTGGCTATTTAAAGGAATGACAGTTGCATTTCCTGTGGCGTGGCCTTATCTCTTTTATAGACTTGCTGTCCTGTTGTTTTTTTCTCCCAGCTGCTGTTCAGTACAATCTTTCATAGGACTTTTTTGTTGTGTAAGATTTTTTTCCCAATACTGGGGTTTGAACCCATGCTTTGCAAGCATTCTACCACTGAACTACATACCCATCCCCCCCCCCTTTTCTTTTGAGACCAGTCTAAGTTGCACAGGCTGGTCTGGAGCGTGCAGTTCTCCTACCTCAGCCTCCTCAGTAGCTGGGATTATAGGCATGCAACATTTAAAAACAGTTTAATAATGTGTTTCTGTTCTATTAGTTTACCCAATCATCTTCAAAGAGACCACATATAACTCCAAAAATGTACTTCTTAATCGTTAGTGAAAGTTAAGAAGTATGATTTTTGTTGATACGAAGTTGAAAAGCCCCATCTTTTCTGTGACTCCTTTGAAATTTTTGTATTAAAATAACTAGAGAATAAGAAATTAGAAACCAAATCCTGTAATAATTTCATATTCTTTTCAATATTACATATTCTGTAGGTGTAAAAGTATTAAAATCTTGTCTTTACATTTTTAGAAATTTAATACTCAAATACTTCCAATATAAAATCTTAAAATAACTTGAAATAAAACCATGAAAGCTGTCACACTAAACCAGATCCATTATCCACCTGGGTAATATTCTTTCATTATGTTTCCAAGAGATATGTCAAAGATACAGTATGTTCATGCCAGTTAACATAATTACACTCAACCTGTAGGAGCCAGTGATCTTTTTATCTTTACTGACATTATAGATCCGATGATTATTAATTTATGTAAATGCGTGTAGTGTTAGAATCAATCATGACTTCCAAAAATTTACCACTTGTTGGATAAAATAATACTTTGTCCTTAATGTAATTACATTCTAATATCAGGGCATGCCTCTTAATTCTAGTAAATTAAAATTTAGTGAGTAAATTACATTCATTTCATCTTTGCCCTTCATGATTTTGATCATATCTTAAGCTTTTATCTTTCCAGCTAAAGAACACGAATGTATTTGGGATTAAGGTTTTATCTTTGAAACGAAAGAGTACTAATGTATTTTGAGAGCTACCAATTCCTTTTGAACTCTACATACCTCTTATTTAGAAAATTTCCAGGTCATTTTTTTTAAAAACTAGTTTTTATAACTAGTTCTAGGGCCAGGGATTTAGCTCAGTGGTTCTGCCACCTGCCTCGCAAGCGCAAGGTCCTGAGAGTTTGATCCCCAGTACCAAAAAAAAACTAGTTCTGTGTGTTATAGTCTAAATGTCAAGTTAAAAGTGCCTTGATTAATCACAGAAGTTTTAAGGAAGTTGGTATTTTATATTATAATCACCAATATTAATCTGTTCAATAATGGTAGCATTAAGTTTTCTAGAAACATAAACATTTTAAATTTACAGTTTTTAACTGGTTACAAAGAAGCATTGGTGAAATCATCTTCACATTTTTGCCTAATTCATCTTATGATTAGCTGTTTTGATAAAATCTGCAGAAGATGATGTACATGTTTTTATAATGTTTGTATAAACATTAGAGTTCTGAAATAATTTAATTGTTTTTAATATTTTTTTAGCGCTTAGAAACCAAAATAGCCAAATGGAACTTGCAGTTGAAAACAAATAAGCATGAGGCTGTAGCCATGAAAGAAGCAAGTAAGCAAAAAGCTATAGCTCTAAAAAAGGCATCTAAAATCTACAAACATAGGCTTGACCATTTTACAGGAGGTGTGGAACACCTCACATCCCAAATTAGGGATCAGGTAAGTATGTATGTATGTTCTTTCTAAAATATATATTTTATGTACTTAGTTTATGTTGTTAATGCCACGATGCTTAATGTAATAATTTTATTCTCAATGTTGTTGATACTAGAAAAACTATTCACCTAATTTGCTTCAGTCTTCTATTTTGCAAGCTTTACATTAAAATTTGTATATTGAATTAGATCAGCATTCAGTGCTGATCCTTGGGTGCTTCAGTGGAAGGAAATGTTAACTATAGTTCCCTCTCTCCCTCTCTCTCTCTCTCTCTCTCTCACACACATACACACACACACACACACACACACACACACACACGCACACACACACACACACACACACACGCAGCTTGTAAGGCTTTACAGTACATTAGCATATTAAAGCTCCTTGAGAGGCTTTTAGAAACAGTGTAATGAGGGTATGGAACTCAGAGTTTCCCACACTTTCTTAACCACAGAACTCTTCTTTTCCCCACAAAGCAACTCTTGGAACTGGTTCTGAGAAATATCAGTATGGGAAATGCTGATTTATGTTATTAAGCCAGATGATTGTATTCAGTAGTTCATTTAATCTCTGTAATGCATTTCAAACCATATGCTGACGTAAACACACCATATGAAAGATATCTTGGAGTGTAGTGCACAGTAGAAAAATGGGCTTAGTGGTTTGCTGTGTTTGAAAAATTATTTATTCAGTTACTAATGAAACATTTATTCTTTTTAATGTCTCACTAGCATCCCATCTCTTAAGAACTTAGGTTAAGGCTTGTAGAGTTATTGGAGGCTCTTAGAAATGAAAACAGATTTGCATAAAACCTTGTGTAAACAAAATAAAAATATTTTATAACCTCGAGTGTTAACATTTTCAAGACCTAATATTTAACCTGCATTCATAATAATTGAAGACTGGATTCAAATTCTAGAAAGTTATTGACGTGGTTGAATTCCCGAGAATATTCTGGAGTGATAAAAACAAATTTGAGTTCTTTCACATTCCTGAGGGCTTCCTGTTGAAATAGCATCATGCCCCAAGTCATAGTCTGGAAAGGCTCCTTCATTTAACCCTGTGACTCGTGATAAAGAATTAGCCTCTGTGGGCTTCAACTTTCTTTTCTATGAAATAGGGAATCTGCTTGTCCTACATGATTATGGGTGGGATACATGAGAAAATATATGTCAAAATATAGTGCATACCCGTAATACATTTTTGCTGTGCTGTATTCCTTTTATGCATGTAGTTTGTTTGCTCTCCTTAATGCTCTTACCCAGCTCAACATAGGTGGTACTTTTTAAAAATCATTTAAGGGCTTTTTCATCTGCCATCTTTTCAGAGTCTTACCTGTCTACTCCTTAAGAATTAATTCTACAGCAACTAATTAAATTAATACTTGAATTTTTGTCACAGCATTTATTACAATCCAAAGCTCTCATTTGTTTGTTTGTTTGTTTATTTATTTTTGATAGCAAGGATCGAACTCAGGACCTTGCACTTACAAGGCAGGTGCAGTGTCACTGAACTAAATCCCTGGCCCTCCTTTATTCTTTAGTCATTGTTCTCTTCTTCCTCTTCTTCAATTTTTTAAAATTTGTTATTTTCCTCTTCTAGAATATAAATCCTAAATGACAAGAGCTTGTTTATCCCATTCACCTGAGAGTACCATTATTTAAACTGTCTCTTAAGTCTAAATGTTGAAGAAGGTCAACAAGAAGAACTAAATAACTATTCAGTAAAATGTCATCATATACTTATTTATATAATACCTAAAATTTACTGAGTACTTCAGAGATTGAGGAGAATGAGGATTTGAAAGCATGTATGCATGGTCTCTGGTCATTAGGGGGTCACCAGTTACTAGTTCATAAGCAATTTCACTACAGTGGAAAGAAGGGTAAAATGAACGTTTGTTTTCTGTCTGTGTGTTTTAAGAATGGATAAAAGAAGAAAAGAGGATTTTTACAGTGCTGGGGTAAACTAATCCTGACATTTAGTGCCTAGGGTCCAGGATGTTAAATACCCTGTAATTCTGCACACTAAGGAATGGTCCCATTTTCTTCTTTGAGAATTGGGCAGATCCTTATTTGCATCTAGTCATTTAGATGTGAGATTTCTTTAAAGTAAAGGTAGGTTACCTCAAAAAGTCTTCTAGGAATGTGATGTAGTATTGACTGGTTTCTACATTCTAGCAATGTCAACTAATTACTGTACTCCATATGAATTTTAGGCAATAACTTCACATGTAATGTATAAATTCCTTTTTATAGGTAAAACATCTACATATCTTAGTTTATATTATAATGTAAATTCACACTTCATGATATACATTATACCCAACTTGTACTCCATCATTTATATTAAATTTTATCTTACTATAAAAATACTACCTCTTTTGTAATAAAAATATTACTGTGAAAAAAATGTAAACGAATACTGTCTTGCACATAGCAGATGCTTAGTAATCCTTGTTTGCTGAGAGAAAGGATAGAAAGAATCACTTAATAAATATTAACTTGATGTCACTTTCTGGGTCTTCTGATCTATAATTGATTACTCGCACTGTTACATCCCATTCAGTTTGCTATTCCGTTTGTTTTTCTCTGGAATGTAGTCAGGGACACATTGGCTACAATTCTTTTAGGTGGATCTTCAGAGACCCTTTTGACCCATTGAACGTGTGCTGTGTTCCAGACACAATCAAGACCCTAGAAATAAAACGATGACTGAAGTAGACAGAACTGCCTAAATCTTGGAGCTTACAGTCCAAATGGACTGGACACTACTCCCTCTTGCACCTTGGTCTCTTTCCTAACAGCAGCAGTTCTTAGTAGCTGGTGTGGGTGATCCCTATAGAACAGAGCTTGCATCATCATAACAAAGATAAAAAAGGCTGCACTGTTGAATTCCCTAAAGTTGTGAAATTAGAAATGGCTTCTGTTTATACTGTACATATTTATGGAATTATTAGCATCCTCTGCTCAAAGTGTGAAATGAAAAATTGAATAAATAGGAAATTATCTTAATTATAAAGTATTGTTTAAAAATAGGTGCACTGACATACTTTAAAATGTTAAGTTGGAAGTGCCGTTGCATCATATAAAATAATAGCAATATGGATATTTGTTAAACTTTAAAACTTTTCTGTATTCAAAATTAAATACTACATTTTTTCTATAATAAAAGTTCCATGCTTTATTGGAAGACTGTTTCCTTATTGTAATGAATTTGTGTTTAGGACCTTGAAGAAAGGAAAACGTTTTTAAATTATAAGATGAGTACTTTATGTATTTTTTAGGAAGCCAAATTGTCTGAAACAGTTTCAGCTTCCAATGCCTGGAAAAACCATTATGAGAAAATTGTAATAGAGAAAACTGAATTGGAAGTTCAGATTGAAACAATGAAAAAGTAAGAAAAAAATTTAGATTTTTGTTTGGTAAGAAGTATTTTTAGTTCTTTCCTCTTTGAGTGGTTGGTATTTTAGTTCTTCTGGATTTCATATGGTAAAGGTATTGCTACCTACATAATTTATTTTTGCCATTTATAATTCTGTAAACTTTTCTTACAGTATTATAAAAATAAAAAATAATTACTCATTAAAACTGCATTGGTGTTTCCATTTTAAAAGTTCAGCTTGAAAAACCTAGTATTTTACAATTGAATCTATGTAATTTATTAGTTATAATAAATGTTAATACTTTGTCTTAAATTGAAGTGGCATTTCTCAATAAGAGTGTGTAATACAACAGAAGAAAATTTATAATCTAACAAATAAATACTTTGAAAGTCCTAAAAATATTTCTTAAAATGGCTTAAATGCATAGCAAAGAGTGTCTGAGTAAAAATATATCTTTTATGCTTTGAAATTTATTACTGATAATTTAACAATCTTAAACCCTCAACATTTTTATGTTGCATTGTTTATATATTCTGTTCAGTTTTATCATTGAAAATGACATACAATTTGTTTCTAAAGATTAGTTCTTATTGCTTTACTTGATTTTTTTCCTTTAAACTTGTCCCCATAATTGCATATAAATAATTAGCATGCATACAAATGAGAGACAGACATTCATATCTGGGGATGATGGTTTTGGCAGTTTACTGAATAGCAGAGAGATTGTTGTATAATTTTTACTGACATCATCATGGATAATTGTTTCTTATCAAGGCCACTTTGGTGGTAATCTTATAGATTAGCTCCTCCTGCTCCTTTTCTCAATGAATTTTTGTAAGCTCCCTGTTTGAAACAATCCAACTAACTGAAATGATTTTACAAATACACTTAAAATGTGCAATTTGAATGATAATTTCAATACCGTTTATAAAAATGTTTATTTTGTAAAGGCAAATTCATAACCTTTTGGAAGATCTGAAGAAAGTGGAAGCCCATGGAAAAAATTCCTGTGAAGAGATTATTAGAGAACTTCACTCAATTGAATATGAAAACGAAACTCTCAATCTTGAGAATACAAAACTAAAGGTACTGTGTGCTTGAGTGTTTGTGCTTGTGTGTTGTGTAATGACAATTCAGTGTAGTTAGTAAAAGTAGTTTAAAGAAACAGCAGGAATAATAGGTTTGGTGTGTGTGTGTGTGTGTGTGTGTGTGTGTGTGTGTGTGTGTGTGTGTGTGTTTAGTACTGGAGATAAAACTCAGGACTTTGTGCTTGCGAGGCAAGCATGGCACCGCTGAGCTACATCTCCAGCCCTGGGTAGTGTTCTTGTATCACATTGTCCTTTTTGTTTCTCAGTATATTATTGTTTCATTAGAATAGGTAATTTCTAAATCTACTCATCTGTCTAAGTTATCTATATATGTGTATGTCCATATACACATATGTTGCATATACATATGAAATAACATGTATATATGTAAATGTTTATAGCTATACAGACAGATGCATTTTAAATTGCTTTTACCAGTACAAAGCAAGCCTTGTGAAGTTGAATAACTATCTCTTTATGGTAACTTCAAAAATGTACTCTTTAATTTTAGCAGTTAAGTAAATTCTCCAAAATTACATTAACTCTAATGCGTAAGACTATTTCTAGGTGTCATGGTTACGATAGGATATAACCCCAGGCCTGGTCTGTTTGAAACCAGAAAGTATGTTCTTGGCTGCTTTATAACCAGAAAGAATTTTCCAACTGAATCAAATCCAAGGGGTGATTGGTTTGTATGTGTACTAGAGAAGAGACAGGAAAGTTTTTATACTTTCTGAGAAAAAAAGATATTTCTCAGTCAGCTAGAGGTGCATGTAACTTCAGTCAGATGAGACTGACTGAAGATGGCACCCTTCCGTTCTCTAGTGTTACTTGAGGAGAGAAAATGGAAGACAGAAGAATCATTTTAAACAATTCAATAAGGTTTATGTGCACAGGATAAGTAATACATTGGCATATCTGTAACACAGAGTACATTTTTCAAAAACTTGTAAAATAAACATCTAACATTGTTTTTCCTTGTTTATACTGGTTTATCATCTACTTCAAATTGTCTTTATCTTAATTTGGATGGTACTGACAGAAAGAATCTATAATGATGAAAAGTGCCAAGACCTTATACTTTTGAAGGGTTAAGTGGTTTTGGTTTATTTGTTTGGGTTGTTTTTGCATTAGAAATGTATTTGTTTCTTTTTATTGGAAAAATTATAATTATCAACTATTTTAAATTATGTAGATATTACAATAAAAATTGGGATGGGCTTGTTATGAATTTGTTTTTAGGGAAAATATAGAAGGTTTAAAGTCATAATGGGTATTTTGCAAAAAGATTATTTCTGAGATGAAAATTGCAGATACATCTATATATCTTTTACCTTTCCAGACCTTCCTTTCTCTGTGTCTCTAAAAATCATGTTCCAGAGAATTTTATCCATTGTAGATTTTGACATGTATTTGTAGCAGTACCTGTTTTCTAGATACTGATCTGTATTTGTAGAAGATATATAGTGTTACACAGTACAGTGTATACTAACTGAAAGTTGCTTACTATATAGGACAGAAAGTAAGCAGATAGCCCTAGTTAAAAAAGAGAGAGAGAGAGAGAAAGGGCCGGGGATTTAGCTCAGAGGTTCGGTGGCCTGCCTTGCAAGCACAAGGACCCGAGTTCAATCCCCAGTACCAAAAAAAAAAAAAAGAGAGAGGGAGAGGGAACTTTTCCTTCTGTTGGTTTACAAAGTAATTTCTCTCACTTTGGTTTTCAGTTTCAGTGTTCTTTAGATCAGGGGGCACGAGGCCAAACTCATTAAAACTCAAGCCCATTTCAACCCATATAGACAGACTCGATTAACTTGAAGTGGAAGACTTAGAATTGAGTTCTGTTGCTGCTGCTGATTAAAGAATGAGGAAAGGAGGACTGCGAATGAGGCTCAGTGGTAGGCGCTTGCCTAGCGTGTGGGGGACCCTGGGTTCAGTCCCGAGCAGTGAGCAAAAAAAAAAAAAAAATTGAGGAAATAGAAATGGTGAAAAATAAGAAGTACATATGACAAGTAATAGTAGCAAGGTCCTACTTTCCTCACCTATAACTTATGTAGTGTACTCTATTTTGCCTACCTCTTGTTAGGAAAGATTTTTTAAAAATCAAAGTCATAGCTAGCATTAAGTTGTTGTTAAAGCAGTAGCATTCAGAATTAACTTTTCTCTCAGGAAACTCTGTAAGTTTCTTCTCCTTTAAGTAATAAGAATTTCTTATGTTTTCTTTATAAGTGAAATACAATTATTCATTGTAACAGCTTCTGACTAGTATCAGTTGAGGGAAGAATATATACTTATTACAGTAAACTTGGGAACTGCAGAAGTACTAAAGGAAAAGAAAACAATACACATTCCCTGGAGATGACCGCATTTTGTAACATCTCTATATTTATTTCATAGTTGTTATTAAAATATGCCTTTGTTCACTTTAAAATGGAAAAATATATTACAGTATGTGTTATATAAACTCATCATAACCATCCTTTGTAATTACTCCACAATATACGTTCCCTTTAGAAATATTAATTGACTTAATTATTCTCTTTTTGTTCCACATTCAGATTGGGCCTTTAAAAAAAATTTACAAATAACATTTTGATGGACTTTTTCATACATAAAATTTTATTTCTTGTAATTTCTTACCCTAGATTCTTATATATATTTTGGAATTACTAAGTCAAAGAATGTGAACTTCTTTAAATTCTTGATTTTTTTTTCTCAAATATTAAATCAGTCAGTATTTCTAACTCTGCTCAAGTCTCTTCTTAGATGTGCTGGTGGTAGTACTGTTTGTTGGCCTGCCTAGATCAATAGTCTGTCTTCAGTTTCTGGCTTTTGTTCAACTTTTAGAAGAGTCTTTAGTTTTTAATTTTAGAATTTTTCTTTCAAATTTTTTAATTTCCTCAGTTTTTTTCGATAAGGTCTGACTACATTGTCAAATCTGCCCTTGAATTCCTTGACTCACGTGATTCTTCTGCCTCAGCTCCCAGTAGCTGGGATACAAGGCATTGTGTGCCAATCAATCTTTTAAAGTGTTATCTGAGTGCTTCTATCATCAGATATCTGAAGATGCCCACTAGAATCTAGTTTTATCAATTTATTTTTTCAATTTTCCAATTTGTTCTTTCTTGGTTCACTTTTTTTTTCTCATTGAGTTTATTGATACAGTTTAGGTATACATTACAGTTACATTCATCATTGGGATCTTGTACCTTTACATGACAGGTCTTGGTTCTCATTTTTTCCCCTTACCCCTGCCCTCCCTTTACCCCCTCTTCCCCTTCCCATTTATAAACACTTTATTTCCATTTTTTCATTTTCTCAGATTTTTTTTTTCTTTTCCCTTATTACCTTTCCCCTACCCTTCCCACTTCCCCTACACCTTTAGCCCTTTTCTTCCTATTTCACATTGTCAATTATACCATTAGGATCTTATGTACCATTATAGTTTATTCACTCCAGAGAAATTATTCAGTATTTATACATGTGTGACTTATTTATTTCACTTAGGAGTATATCCTCAATATGTATCCATTTTCCTGTGAATGACTCTAGTTTCTCATTCTTTATGGCTGAGTAGTACTCCATTTTATAGAAAAACCACATCTTCTTTATCCAGTCTCCAACTGATGGGCAAATGGGCTGTTTCCAAGTTTTAGCTATTACAAACTGCTGCTATAAACATAGGTGCGCATATGTGACTGTGATATGGTTCTTTTAATTCTTTTCGAAAGATACCCAGCAGAGGGATGTCTGGGTCAAACGGAACCTCTAATCCCAGCTCTACGGGGAACTTTGTTTTGCATGTTGCCCAATTTACCCAAATGTCTGGTGATAACATTGAAGAATTTACAAATGAGATGAAAGAAAAGCTAGTGAGAAAACAGACTAAAAGCTAAGTTTCCTATTGGATGGTCCCTTATAGACGTCACTTCACTTTCTTCAGCTGTTGAGGAACCAGCACTGACCCTGGTGTCTCTAAAAAGCACCACAGCCATCGGCATCTTTGCTCCAGTCACCAACACTGTCCCTCTGTTCTAGTTCCCTCCTGACAGGTAGTTCGGTTTCTTTAGAAAAAAGCCTCGTTTTTATTTCTTGGGAGGTAAACACCAGTTTTACATCATTGCTCAGTGTGCGCTGTGTACACCCAAAGATAGAGGCCAGTTCTAGGCCTCGAGTTTGCCACAGGGGCACCAGAAGTAGTGGTGCTCAGCTGTTCTAGCCCGGGACTTTGAAGCAACCTTTTCCCTTCACAGTCTCAGCCTGTCCTCACCCTGTGCCGGTCCGGATCTGTACATGCAGGAACTTTCTCCTTAGCTGAATCCATTCATGCTTCACCCATCTGTCATCAGTTTCCCAGAAGTATCAAATATATTTTGTTCTTTGCTGGCCAATGATCTGCTCTCTTTTAATAAGTGGACTTGATAAGAAGGGAGATAGAAAAATGTGGGCTTGGTACTCCAACAAATGCACTTTAATTCTGTTTGCTGCCAGGACATTTTCTTTGATAGTGCACATAACTTTTTCCTCATTTTATGCTCACTTTTCTCTGTATCTGCTATATGTAGAACTTCGTTGGACTTGCTTGTATGCATAATTTGTCTCCTACTGTCTGTCTTTTCCTCTATCCTCCACATGCCAGGGTCAGGGACCAGCGATTAAGTTTATTGTCTGTTTATTTTTAGTGCCTAGTGCCATCCCTGGGCCATTTAATAAAGGACTGTAAACAATAAAGGCTACTGTATTACTGTTCCTTAGTATAGGAGGTGATTTGATAAATGCTTTACATTCTTTATTGTTGATTCTTATATCAGCCCTGTATTTTTCTCAGTTATAGATTAATATATTGAAGCTCAGAAAGTTTAAATGTCTTGTGCAAAATTACAGAATCATAGATGAAAGAAGGAAAAATACTGAACACAATCTTGTTTATATTTTATAATTACAAACTTGGTTTCCCTCATCTTTTAAATTATTTAAACTTTACTAGGATATAGTGAAAACTTACAAAAAACAATACAATAACAGTTCTAGGGAACTATTTTTTTTGTATTTCCGCAAGTCTTACATCAGTTAAGATCGAGCTTTACATTGTATACTAGAAAATCAGTTTAGGTGGTTTAAGTAAGATGGAAGCATATGTTTATTACATAAAAGAGGTACAGCCTTTGCATTTTAGAATTAATGTGTCAGCAGAGAGAAGCCTACTTTTAGCTCTCTGTACTTTCTTCCTTAGATTGTGACCCTTATCATGATCCAAAAGACAGTAAGTGGAAGGGAAAAAGGAAACATTCTCTCCCTCACTTTTTCTCTCCCTTTATCTCTCCCTCTCTCTCTTTTGAAGAGACTTCCTGAAGTCCTGTATAACTTGAATCTTATCCTAAACTCTAGCCAAATATGAATACGCACCATTTCCTGCATTTGCTCACTGGTTTCCTGTTTCTGCCCCTACAGTTTCCCTGTTTTTCTGCTTCAGAATGCTATCTTTCTCAGTGCCTCTATCCTTTCTTTCCTGTAAAGCGGAGTTTGAATGCTACTTCTTCCCTAGGTCTTCTCAAGGAGGATGAAGCACTCCTTATAAACCAACTTTGAGGGCACAGAGTGTCCAGCAACAGTGTGACGTAGTTTAGTGCTCAATTAATATTGTTGAATGAATGTGTAAATTGTCTTGTCTGAAACAAGGGAACAATTTTATTTATGTTTATTTTTGTAATTTTCTTTATATTTACCATAGAAAAGACTAGAAGTGTATTTCATTAATTATAAATCTAGGTTTTAATCGCATGATAATAGAATTATTTTTAAATTAATAGGGTACAAAGGTCATTGAGTTAAAGTTTGTTTCTTAGCATATATATATATTTAAATCCAGAAACATACATTTTAAAACATTCTCTGGAGTTTAGTGTAAGGAAAATAATTATGTTAGACATATGTTATTTATAGTAGAAAATTGCCTAAATGTCTATATTTTGTTACTTTTAATTAGAAGTTTTAGATTTTAAAGTTTTAAATGAAAAATAGCTTATTGATAATTGCTTCTAAGCCCCTCTATTAAAAATAACAAAAGTTTATTTGGAGGCTTATAAAATTTTATTTGGAAACTTAGAAAAATAGAATTGCACAGGAGGAAAAATTTTAAAAAACACTCATAATCTCACAAGTGAAGAATAAGTAAAGTTAATATTCCGATGTAAACAATTTTCTGATATTACTTACACACAACTTCCAATAATTTCTTACAGTTTATTTTTGCTACTATAAATAAAAATTTAGGTAGTTTCTTTGAGGTTTTTTTTCATACTTTTCATGGAATGTTGAGAAATGGAATTGTATGTAAGGTAGGATTAAAAATAAAGTGAATGCTTAAGTTTTAAAAATGCATTATGGTAAGAAACACATTGCCATTAATCTCCCCTCAAAATATTCTCCCTTGCTTCAAACATACTTGTCCCCTCTTTCTTATACTTTCTGAAGCAGTTCTGGAAGTCATTTCTCATGTCTTTAGTTGCCCTGTTGTGACTCTTTACTGTCTTCTGAATCCATTCAGAACATTTTCCTCATGGTCGCTTTGGCCATAGGGACGAGCCGGAAGTCTCACAGTGTTAGATCAGGTGGGCAAGGACATACTGGAGTGTTTTCCCGAGGCTGCCTTCCTGTGGGATGCCAGTTGGCAGAGGCATTCACCGTCTTCTTTATCACACCTCATAGACACTCATGAAAGAAGTGGGGTGTAAGAGAAAGGAAGAGCTGAAAAAAGAGTCAAGGAAGACTGCAGGATAAACTTGGGAACTATCAGCTTTGTCAGCAAGTCTGCCTCAGCTAAACCAAGAATCTGATCACTTCACCAGCACAGTGCTCTCATCTTGGGTCATATCATCCTCCTCCTTCACTGTTGTCCTGGTCTCTCCATTCTCCTTGCTTCTACCCTCACTTCTACAGGCAGCATTCGGTGTAGCAGCAGGGAAACTTCTATGCAAATGTAAGTTAGGCCATGCTACTGTTCACCTCGTATCTTGCTTAATAAAGCCAACATCTACACGGCGACGGTCTGCTTTCCACGACCTCTCTGACCCCATCTCCTTCTACTTTCCCCTTTCCTTTCTCCATCTCTGCCATACTGGTCGTCTAGCCGTTTTTCCTCAAGACCTCCTTTCATCATTACCTTTTTCTACAGAAATATCCTTCCCTAAAGGCCACACTGCTTTCCTGTTCCTACTCAAAAATCCCCTTTCTCAGGAGGCCTTCCCTGGCCCACCTGTAGCATGTCCTTCCCGTCCTGCTTTTGTCTAATGTCTTCCACCTCTTACTTAGATTTTTATCTGTCTATTCCTCTATTGTATAAGCTGTATGATGGAAGAAATTTTTTCTGTTTTGTTTAATACTAGACACTCCAATTCTTAGAGCATTTTTTAAATGATGAATGAATATAGTTATGCATCACTCATCATTATACTTCTATCTTTTTGGATTACCTAGTTATTCTTTATATTTTTCTTTGTCATAAATGTCATATTAAAACTATATTAAGATATTAATCTTGTGTTTGTCAAATGACGGATGATATATCAAATTTGTCATATTTTTCTAATACATTTTCTAGTTTGCCTCAAATATTTGAGCGCTATGAAATTCTGAATACATATATATTCTGAAAAAAGGATACATATATATTGGCTTCTGTTGGGAATATTACAGTTCCACATATCTTATGAGCAGAGGCACTGACCTCCTGGAATCTGAACTGTCTTTCCAAGGATTTTTGCATAATGAACATCCTTGTTGTTTGCTTTTGGAGCAAAGGGCAGGCATCCTTACTGCCTCTTATAAGAGATTTATGTTCCCTAAACTCAGGATTGCTCTCTTACAATACATCCCTCTGCCCAAGCAGTTGTCCCTTGGAGATTGGTACAAATGCTGACAGTTTTGCTACTCTTCATACTGTGAATAATAAAGTCCTCTGTCTCTGACACAGGAGTTTTGTGTCTTCTGCTAGCATATATGAAACTAAATGGCTAAATGGCAAGCCTATATAGAAAGCAAAATCCCAGACTCTTAAAATTCTCAATTTTTAGAAGTTTTATGGTCAGTAGAGTTTTTGCTATTCTGATATCAAATATGGTTCTACCTAGATCTTCTTCAAAAATTGTTAATTTTTAATATTTAATCTTTAATGTATTTTTTCATGAATGTTAATGTTGAGTAGAAGCAGGTGTAGTTAGTGGGTTTTTTTCTAATAGTTAAGCAGTTATCTTTTATCATTTACTTACTCACCTATGTTTTGTCTGTTGACTTAAAAGTCCAACCTGTAGCTGGGTGTGATAGCATATGTCTTTAGTCCCAGCACTCTGGGAACCTGGGGCAAGACGATAGCAAGTTTGAGCTCAGCCTGGGCAGTTTAGCAATTTAGCAAGACTTCGTCTCAAAATAGATAAAAAGGGAGGAAAGGAGGGAGCAGAGAGGGAGAGGAAGGGAGGGAGAAGGAGAGGAGGAGAGAGAGGACTGAAGATACAGCTTGGTGCAAAGATCCTGGGTTTAATCCCCAGTACCACACACAATAAAACCGTCCAGCTTTTGTCATACACATTAGTACCTCAGTTTATGAACGATTTTGTTTGCAGTAATTTGGTTTGCAAACTGAAGCATTTGGCAAACAAAAAGTTTTTTTTGTCTGCATCAGCTGATAAATATGACCTTGACCCCCACCCCTTTTTTTTGCACAATCACGAACGTGATCATCTTTTTCAGAATTGTGGAACAAATTGTGAACTGAAGTATCACTGTATTAAATATAATTTTTGTATCTCCTTTTCTACCATCATGTTATCATCTTCATATTTTGAATCTAGTGAGCACTGATTTTTTTATGTAGTATTCTTTTCAAAATTATATTTTTTTCTACTTCTATGAGTTTTAAATTATGTCTTATACCCCCAACTCTTTACACTTTTGGTTGAAACTGTTAAATGTTGAATTGATTTTGGAATAACCCAGTGGGCAACAATTATTAATTCTTCTTGTCCAGGAACATAGGCTAATTTTTAGTCCTTTTTGATCAGCAAGGTTAAAGTTTTTAAAAAATGTATGTCCCAAGTAAGTCTTATTAAATTTGTTCAAAAGTGTTACTCCGTAACTTCAAAATTTCTAAATTTTAGATAGTAATTGTATTTAATAAAAATAATTGTTTTATTTTGTTGATAAATGAGTTACTATGTTTTTATAATTGTATAACACTGGAGTATAATGTATTCTAATGACTTATAAGATCTATTACATATTTCTTCCTAGACCACACTTACTACTTTGAAGGACGAAGTTGTTTCTGTTGAAAGTGAACTCTTAGAACTGCAAGAAGTAGAAAAACAACAGAAAGGCCTTATTGAAATGTACAAAACTCAGGTGACCACTGCATGTATTTTAATGTTAAAATGGGTAGATAATTTAAGACATTGTATTTGTTTATGATCTAAATAAACAGAACTGGGAAAGGCAGACTATCATTTTGTGATATAATATATCCCAAACAATTTCTATTTGTTTGCTTTTTGCAGTGCCAGGGATCAGTCTCAGGGCTTGCACATGCTAAGCAAATGCATTACTATTGATCTACATCCCTAGCCCTCTGAATATATCTTAAGATCATAAGGGCTGGGGATTTAGCGCAGAGGTTCCGCCATATGCCTCGCTAAAGCTCAAGGTCCCAAGTTTGATCCTCAGTACCAAAAAAAATATATACATATATATATATATATATATATATGTATCAGAGTTATCTGAAGATCACAAATACCTGTATAAAAAGGTGATTGTGTGGATTACTGATTCAAACCTGCCTGTGTAATTGGGAACTTCCTAACTAGCTTTAGTATTAATTATGTAGGTATAATAAAATTTGTAGGTGAAATCTAAATATAGAATCTTATTAGTTATACATTCTGTCATCTTTTATGCTTAATTGTATTGATTTAGAACAACAAGTCCCTCTAGGGTCATTAAATCTCTGATGGTAGAAAAGAAAGTATAGTTTCAATTCATGTGAAAGAACTACAAAGAAAACATGACAGCACATAAAGTAGAGCATGTATTCATTGGCAATTTATAGAAAAGCTGCATGTTTTGGCAATGCAGTGTTCAAGAAAAACTTAATGAAAAAAACTAGACTTATGCAGATATTCACATGATGAGAAACAAACTGGTCATTAAGGATCTTGATTTTATTGGAAGAGTCTGAATTAAAGAATAATGATGTGTTAGTGGTATAGATCACTAGTAGAGCTATGCCTTTGCATGCACAAGGCCCTGGGGTTCAATCCCCAGACTGCTCAAAATAAAAAATGAGTAATGAACTAAGGGTAAAAGCTTGAGGTGGGGCAAAATCTATGCAAATGGGAAAGGGCTGTATCTCGATGTATTGATAGCAAATTGGGATTGAGACATCCAGTTAGGTTATACCAGATGAGAAGTAAGAATGGAGTCCTTGGAAGACTTTGGACCTTTTAGTGAGGATATCTGAGTCTTTCACTTGATTGTTCAGGCATAAGCCCATAGCAAGGGTACTATAGCTGAGTTACCATATTCTAACTGTTGGGACTTATAGAAAGTACTCACATGTTTTTGGAGAAGATTTTGAAATGGTAGGAAAAATTACCAGAATGAGAGCTGTTTGGATTAGAAGACTATTTCTTTAAAGTGGCTTTTGTCTGCAAATGAAGATCCCTGTAGTCCAGAACTTAAGTGAAGAATCTAGAAGTATTGGTGGCAGAAGACAGGATTGTGGATAGAGTAGAACATTAGAATAGAGCTTTGAGTGAGTCTATATCTAAAGAACGAATAGATTAGATAAATGTGATGAGGCTATTGGTAGGGAAATCATGACTTATTTAAAGTAAAATTTTTAATTTTTAGCTTTTATTTCATGCTGTAGTCCTAATAATAAAGTAATACATGATGCTTTAGCAATATATTTTACTTTCAGGTGCAAAAGTTGCAAGAAGCAGCTGAAATGGTGAAAACCAGATATGAAAATTTGCTACATGAAAATAACCTAATAACAGAGAACAAAAATAAAAAATTAGAGATGGTAAGTTTGAAACTTCAAACAATAAAATAAATTTTCTTATTTAATAAATATTTTACAATTTTTTCATTTTGGTCATTTTCTCATGCCTAGGATCCATTCTTGATCTCTGTAGGAGTTGTTTTTCCCCCCTTCTGAGGAAATATTGTTTCTTTCAGGCTTGAAGTATTGTTTGTTTATGTGGATGCTTTTCCACTTTTTTCTTAATATTTGAGAAATGATATAAATGTTTAATTGTCTGATATAAGAATAGATTTAAGCTAAAGCAACCTGATTATCACTAAGGTTCATTAGCCATAAAACAAACTAAAGGCACCTTTCTTTCTGGTTATAAATCTTTGGTGTCTAAAAAAATTACAAAGCAAATACTCTCTGCTACATGCATTTTTAGAAGAAAAATTATATCATAAAAACGCCATTGTTTCCTTTTATTCACCCTGTTTAACAGAATTAAGGCAAGGCCAATACTGGCAAGTGACCATGTTTTTGTGAATATTTCTAAGTTTTTAACTGAAACCACATCCCTTTTTGGAATGTCATGTTTTGGTAAGGAAGCAGTAAAAGTTGTCGGAAGCTGACCCCTGGCTGGAGAGGTCATGGAATGTTAGTGGTCAGTTCCAAGGTTATTATCACTGGGATGCTCCCATATTTTGGGACTGAAAAGTCCAAGTGAGGCATCGCTGGGAAAAAGAGGTCAGAGCAGTCAGACTGCCAGAGACACAGAGGTGCCCATTGAATGAGCAAAGTATTGCCTCCTAAGGACTGTCTTTTACCTAATTTTAGTTTAGCAGAACAGAGTAGACACCATTTCATGTCTTCTGGTCTCTTTTTCTCCTGAGACATTTCAAGCACATTTCTTCTTTGAGGAAGCACCATAATAAGCCCACTTTAAAAACCTGCTCAAAAGGCAGAAAGGATAGGAGTCTATATTTTTTACCCACTCTGAGGTCATAATTTTTACTTGGTGGTCTACAACCAGAAAAATAATTTTAGATGAGATTCTATTTTTTCCTTTTCCATTGTTTAAGTCTCCTGGTTTTCTCATGGGCTGTTAAACACCAAGACATGCTTTGTCCTGGTTTTATATTTTATGATCAAGATTGGCAGACATTGCACAGAATCTGTAGGTGTTCCCTGACTTAGGGAAAGAGTCTCGCTTTGTTTTTTCTTCTTAAGAACATCATAAAAGTCACATGGCTTTTTTTCTGTTTTAATTAGCAATACAACTGTTTCTTAAGTTTGCTTTCATGTCACAAAAGTGCCACAGTGAGGAACTGCAGCAGGCAGAGGGATTAATATAGATAGAAAGATTTGTTCATCCTAAAAATGATGAAATAAATCCAGTGAGAACTGATGATATTAGCTGTCTTGACAAAGCAATAGTAAACTCTACCGATAAAGGCCAGCATGCATGGAGCAAAGTGGTTCTAATTTAGTTCAGTACCTGAGTTATAATATTAAGTGACAGAAAGTGATAGTTACATTAGAGCTGAGGCTTGGCAGTGGAAAACTAATATACCAATTTTATTAGTAATAACATCTATGCTTACATATAATAACAAACTTCAAAAAGTTTGCTTTCCTAAGTAGGTTTACTACTTTCCTGCAAGCTAAAATTACCATATTTATTTGCTGAATAAACTTTGAAAACTAAGGGCCAACCCACTTTTTCGTTACTTGTAATGTTGCAGAATCTAAATTAATATCCATTCGTATTTGTTTGCTTAAATATTGTTGTTGAATGTCATTGAACCTAAAATACTTGTTATATAACAAGCATATATAGAATTTAAGATAGTAAGAATGTACATGCTGAATGTGTGATTTTGCACTTATTTCCCCTAATGCCGCAACTCAGATGAGAGGCCAGATGGAGTCTCATCTGCAGGAGGTAGAGCGGGTCCGAGATTCCTTGACGGCGGCCAAACGGAGGCTTCGGGAAAGTCAGGAGAACTTGCAGCGCTGCAAGGCGAAGTGTGCAGAGCAGGCACAAACCTTTAGGGAGCTGCAGGGCCAGGTGTCCAGCCGTCACTCTGAGTTCTGCCGATGTGTTGAAGGAATGCCTGGAATGACTTCACCAGTTGAGGGCACTCACGTCAGGCGTTGACTCTTTGGTTTGCTTCTGCATCAGCTGATGAAACATCATTTCCATGCAGAGTGTAGTAGCATTCTTCAAGCTACTCTTGTAGTATTTGATGTGATAAATTAGAAGTTAAAATGGATAATTTAGGTTATTCTTGCTAATCTATATTTAGACACCAGAGGGTTGATAATAACATTACAGAAGGAGCAAAACTGTGATTACATATGTTTTTTGATGTCTGGAAAAGGAGAATTACTATAATTTACCTTACAACCATTAGAATATATTTTAAGTAGAATTGTACATCAAGTCTGTTCCATCAGAATAGAGATTAGGTGTGTCCTGTTAATCATCACTCATCCTTCTCCTACCTCAAAGCCTAGCATGTAGAAAACACATAGAAATATTTTTGAATTAATTTTTTTCTCAAAGAAGCATATCCAAGGATGGCAGCAAGTATTTTTCTTTACTTGCAAGCCAGTTCTGGAAGGATTCATTTTCTATATTCCAAATATAATCTGCATTTTTATTTTGAAGTGCATCTTGTTTTTAAAAACATACAGGCAGTCTTTTCATTAATTTCCTGAGAGATTTTTCTAAGAAAATGTCAAATTACGTATGTTTAACTTAAATTACTAGTTGAACTTATAAGAAAAGAATTATCATTATCGTTATTATTGTTATCATCCTTATTATTACAAGACTCTTGAGCTATGTATATCCACTTTTGAAGTAATAGGAAGAATATTCTGTCTTGGCAAGGTCAAGTGCCTTTGGTTGATTAATTTTACTTTGCTTCTTACAAGAATATGGTTTTACTTATAGTTACAATGTCACAGATACATAATAACAATCAGTATTTTTAGATAAAAGAAAACTCTAGGAAACCCCATTCAATATAAGTTAATATTGTTTTACATTTTTCATATTTTAACTTAATAAAATACCCTTTTTCGATAATGAATTGCTTAGAATATTTTAATCTCTATTACCCAGAAAAAAATTTGTTGATTTTCCAATGTAAACAGTATAGTTTTTAAAAATCTTAACCAAGAATTTAAGAAATTATATTTTAACAATGTAATATTTCTTTGTGTCTTTCTGTGCATAAGTAATATTTATATAATCTTGTTCCTTGTTCTGATGATAAAATATGTAGATTTCTTTGGAGTTGATTATAAAGAAAATAACGACAAAAACATTTTTGTTTAGGTTGATGGAAATTATAGTATTCTGACAGAGCTTTCTCTTGAGGAGGAAAATTATCTTATTCAGTTGAAGTGTGAAAACCTGAAACAGTAAGTATCAAATCGACTTAAAATTGGTGTTACATTTTTCCCTACATACTATAATTTTAAAATATGTATTTTCTGTAAAAAGAAAATTAGAACAGATGGATATAGAGAATAAAGAACTTGAGAAGAAGCTGGCAAACCAAGAAGAATGTCTTAAGCACAGCAATCTGAAGCTTAAAGAGAAATCTGCAGAATATTCAGCATTGGCCAGGCAACTAGAAGCTGCTTTAGAAGAAGGAAGACGAAAGGTACAGATGGCCTTTATTTAGGAACTTTTTAATCAGTTTGCCAGTCATCTTTTTAAACAGCTAGTGTTTCATCTTGCCAAACCTACAGTTATTGTTTTTATCTTGATGACAGAGTGAAGGGAATAGTTCCTTTTTTATTTTTTACCTATTTTTTCTTTAGAGCAAAACAGATATGTTACTGGGCCAGAGTTATTCCACTAGATAAGTGGTAATGTTGCAGGGTAAAAGGCAGAGATGGAAAATACTTTGAAAATGTAACCTCCCCTGACCCCCCACTTTTTTTAATATAACAAAGTTGAATGCACATGCAACTAAAAATTTTTATTTTGATCATGATCTAGTGAACTGTAAAGCTCAAATTCTTTTTCACAAGTTTGTTGCACAAATAAATACATGCAAGAATTAAATTCCAGTTAAATCCATTAGGTTAGTTTTCAGTTTAAGCAAATGCCTCCCTGTATTTCCTCAGTTTTACAACACTCCCCGTACAGTAGGAAGTAACATGGGAACAAACAAATGTCATCCCATGTGTAGAAGCTATAATAGAGGGTGTGTTCCCTTCAACATGCCTCAGAAGGAGTAGTTATCTCAAGTTGGAGGTAAAGAGAAGTGATTCAGGAAAAACTCCAAGAAGAGTGAATTTATCAAACAATTTGAAAGTCTAATCTTGAAAGGATGCAAAGTGGGCTCTGGAGTCCAACAGATTTGAATTCTGGCTCTGGCACATTGTAACCCTGCCTCAGGACAGATTACTCCTCCACACTTTAAGTTTCTTAATCTATAAAAGAAGATGATAAGTTTCTTTGTAGGACAAGTTTCACCAAAAAGTGATCATTTCTACTCTGATGACTCAGATGTACATCTTCACTGTGACCTCTCCCCTGACTGAAATCCAGGCTCATGTTCTCTACTTGGCATATCTACTTAAAATAGACATCTCAGACTTCACATGTCTAAAACCAAATTCTGAATCTTTCTCTCCAAACTTGTCTGTGGTGTTCCTTAGGCCCATTAATGCTAATTCCATGAAAGATAAAATCTGATACGCTTGAAAAGTGAGTCTTGTGTCACAAGTGTCATGTATACTTTGATTTTTTTAAACTCTTGGAAACCAATGTAAGTTGATGTTTAGAGATATATCATTAAATAAAAATTAAATAATTAAGTGTATTTCCAATGGTAGAAATGTAATTCAGATTTTTTTGGCCCCACCAATTTTGGGGAGAAAAATAAGAGGTGATTTTTATCTTAAACTGAGCCTAAGTGGACCTTGAATGGGTACTCACATTCCTTCCCCAAGGAGCCTAGAGGCTCCAGAGGCATGTCTGCCCTGCTGTTTCCCTCCTGCTGCAGAGGAACATGGGCCTCTCTAGTTTTTTCCCACCTAAAGAGTGCCACGACTGCTCCATCACTGATGCCACACTGGGGCAGTGCCAAGGGCACGGATGATTGTCCTGGATGACTGTCCTTTTCCCCCACAGCTTTAAATTCAGTCACACTCAACTTTGACATATATGCAGAAGAAATCTTTATAAGTCACTTTATAATGACTTAGTATATGTGCTGCCGAAGCAAGCACATATAATGACTTAGAACTGAGTCCGTAAGAGTTCAGGTAGACAGTAGTCTTCCGCACTAGCTTCTTGCTCCTGGATCAGGTCTTGCCTCCACTCTCATTTGAGTGTCCCCCAACCCAACATTCTTACAAATGAATTCCCACATACCCAAATCCTTGAAGATTTAGATAAGCAAGATTTCTATTAAATAAACAGACAAATGTGAAAAATCAAATTCAGGCCACTTTGGAAATGAAGGAATGAAAAACCAATCTGTGTGTGTGTGTGTCTGTATGTGTGTAGGATGTACATCATGCTGTCTATCCAAATATATAATCAGTATTTAATGATGACTTTCTGTGATCTACCACCATGCTAGATACCATGGTAAATATAAAACTATTAAAAAGAGCAGTTGGTCTTAGTATGTTCCAATACATGTTGTTGGTGAAAATACTTATAAATCAATGAAAGTGCATAGTATGCCTCTTTTGTCCTAAGCTAATTTTGCAGATACTTATATAAAGACAATATACATATTTATACTATTTGTCCTTCCTTGAGATAGAATATTTTTAAACATTTTCCAGTTGTCTAACATCTAGTACCTATTTAGAAAAAAAGTACAGTATAACTTTGCCAAGTTTTAAGCTGTATTTTAAAGAATGCACATTTAGTTATTTTACTCTCAATAAAAATTACAGGTTTCTGAAGAAATAGAGAAAACGTCATCTAGAGAGAGGGCTTTACAAGTGAAAATATTAGACCTGGAAACTGAGCTTAGAAAGAAAAATGAAGAACAAAACCAACTTGTTTGCAAAATGAACAGTGTAAGTATTAGTATGGCTTAATATATAAGCATAAAAAGGAATAACATTTAACATTAATACCATGTAGTTTAGATAAATAGTTAAAAGTACAGATTGAGGAGAATCAAGCCTATCACTTTACTGATAGTAGGAAAATAAATAATATAACACATAAAAATATAAATGCCAGGATCCGGCTGAAGAATTTTTTTTTTTTTTTTTTTTTTTTTTTTAATACCACAGATTGAACTTGGGTCCTTGCGCTTGCAAGGCAGGCCACCAAACCGCTGAGCTAAATCCCCGGCCCTAGGCTGAAGAATTTTTTATCCCACCTTCCTGTAACGTATACCACATTGCCTTCAAGTCTCCACAGCCACTTACCTTCTTGCATGCTTTTTTTCATGACAGTTGCTTAACGAAAGTTATGGCTATGGTCTACTTATTTTCTTCATTGTATGAATTTTTTCATTTTTTAAAGATAAGCATAATTTAGACTATATTATGAATTAGATTTTATATCTGTCTTGAGTAATATATTATATCTCAGATGTAATTTGATTTTAAGTAAATATTCAGTATTATTAGATCTGCATATGAGATGAATGCTTTGATCCTCTAAACCATGAAATGAGAATAACAAATTGGCTGTGTTTAATTAGTCTTAATGTTTTTTCCTGAATATTCATGAAATAGTCAGCATAATGTACTCTTGAAGCTAGCATTAGTCATTATTAAATTACTTAATAGCTCTCTACTTGCAAAGACATAGAGAATAATGATAATTTATTTTTCTAAGAGTTGGAGACTTCATGAAAACTCTTTTTTATTCCCAAGTGTCTACGTTGAAAACCTGAAAGGCTCAAATGTTAAAAGATTTTAGCATGCATTGTTTAATTATATGGTCATCAGAAATTTCATGACCACTAGCCAGGGTGTGGTGGTGCATGTCTGTAATTCCAGCTCTCTGGGAGACTGAGGCAGACATTTTATGCACAGCCTAGGCAACTTAGGGATTTAGTGAGACCCTTTCTCAAAACTAAAAACAATTTAAAAAGAGCTGAGGATGTAGCTCAATGCAAAAGCCCCAGCATCAGAAAAAAAATACATATATTTGCAAACTTAATCAAAAAACATTTATCACATAGTTAGGTCTTCCGTTTATTTTCTAAACTTTTTTTGTCTAAGCTTCTGATATTGTCCAATGTTAAACTTGATAATTTTGATAATTTATACACCAGTAAAAATCTAGAATTCTAAGCATAGATATAGATACGCAGAGAAATGAGTTTGTATTCTGTGCCTTTCAGGGGACAGTTCTGTGTACAGTTAAGCTACTGTTTTTATTTCGTATAACAGTGCATGCCTTAGGACCCACTGAATTACAAGCACCCGGAGGAGAGTCCGTCTCGCAGTTGACTGTGTCCCTGGTGTCTTCCACGGTGCTCTGTCCCCTGCCTGAGTACCGTACTCGGTGTGGAGAGGGTGCACAGACTCATGGGGTGACTATCAGCTTAACCCAGAGCAACCCTTCTGAAACCCAAAATGCCTGTGAAGCCTTATGTTGTATCCTAAAATCCATTGACATTTTGCATCCTACCCTACTTTCTGTGTTACTTTCTCTCCAAATGGTTGCGAAAGATGAATGCTCCATAGGATTCACTGTATTCATTCTGCGACTTTGCGGCCCCATCTGGCACATTGTCTCAGCCCACCCGCTTCTCCTGTGAGGCTTCCTTAGTTTTAGAAAGTAGCAGGTATCGTTGAACACCTGCTAAGAAGGACATAAAAGACCTTGCTTCTCAAGATGACCGTTTTAGTTGGAAGCTAGATGATATTTGAAACCTTTCCCTAGAGCGTTTTCGGTGAACTGATCTACTTAGAAATTTATATGCAACTAAAGTTAAAGTAGGGGTTTTTAAATTGTCCTTTCCCAAAGAACATCTATAATATTGAGTTCTTTTTATTTTTTAAAGGATTCTAAAAGTAAAATGTTTATGTTATCAAAACTAGAATTCTATCAATTTTTCAAAATTAATTTTATCGGTACATTTTAGGTATACAGTATAATGACATTCAGCATTGGAGATTTGTACCTTTGCATAATATATCTTGATTCTTATTTTTCCCCTTTCCCCTGCCTTCCCTTCAACCCCTTCACCCCTCTCTATTTACAAAGACTTTTTTAGGACAACAAAGCTCAGCCTTATGGGATAAAATATAATTTTTTTGTCAGAGAAAAGTGCAAAAATTAGTATGAAAATATAGCATATTACTGTAATGAAAAGTAATTAGCACAATTAAATAAAACCTGCTTAGGGCCGGGGATTTAGCTCAGTGGTTCTGCAGCCTGCCTCCCTCATAAGCGCAAGGTCCAGAGTCCGATCCCTGGTACCCCCCCAAAAAAAAAACAACAACAAAACCTGCTTATTAAATTGTTAACTATATAATGATTTGGGGCTAAGTAAATGTGTATTACAACAAATTAAATCAGAGATCAACCATGTGTATTTTTTAAATCAGTTTTAAAGAAAAGTGAGATTTAAGGTAAGTTAATAATGGACAGGTCAGATGTAAAGATATTTTCTTTTAAGAAATTTTTAAAATGTATTCATTTGTTGCCTATATAATTTTTTTTTTTTTTTTTTGTACCGGGGATTGAACTCTGGCTCTTGCGCTTGAGAGGCAGGTGATGGAACCACAGAGCCAAATCCCCAGCCCAGCCTATATATGTTTTATAGTATGCCTCTTATTCTTTGATATGATACCATTATTGACTGTATTTCTTTTTTTTTGTACAGAAAGCTCAACATCAGGAAGTATGTTTGAAAGAAATACAACATAGTCTTGAGAAGTCGGAGAATCAAAATGAGAGTATTAAGAATTATTTACAGTTTCTTAAAACGTCCTATGTAACAATGTTTGGATAAATTGCTGATATTTTCTATAAGCAGTAGGTTTTAACAAAGTCTAAAATGTGGTTAGGTGAAAAAACACTACTGGTTGTTACATCTCATGATTTATGGGTAGTAGTAGTGGATTTTTTTTATGTAAAGACATTTGAAACATAGTTTATTGTGTAATTGAAACTTCAAAACCTGACAGCTGTTAATATTCCTTTTTGCTTGAAAATTCTCATCTAGCTCCTGAAAAATATGTTGTATTTTTACAGTTTTTTTCTCACGCATGTACGGAAGTCAGAATCATTCTTTGTGATGTCTATAGCTACCATTCAAGTGAATTTTTAATAATTCAGGCCAATTATGAGTCAAATGCATGATTTTAAAATAATATAGATAATCATTTTATATTGTGGTGCTATATAAATGTAATAAAAATTTTGAATTTTAATATTTAATAATGGTACAATCACATACTTCCCAAAGATACCAAATGTGTGAATATATTTAATATTGCTTCACATATATGCTGAGTTGCCTGTGTAATTTGTTATGTTTTAAATATAAAGTTTTAAGTTAATAGCTATGAAATGCCAACCAGTGGTGACTGATGAAAATACATTGGCATGCATTGTTTCTATATAAAAAATAGACATCCAGGCTGTCCTGTGAACTCACAGCCTTTTTGTTCGCTATGTTAAGGGATCATCTGATACTGCTGTAGACATCGTAAAGCCCGAGTTAGCTAGCATATCAAAGGAGAACAACTTGTCCTACCCCTCTCATGGTGACTCACACGGGATAGTCAAAATAAGCACTCTTAATACCACCAAGCTTTAGGATAAGATCTTTATTATTGGGATGAAGTAAAGAGAAACCAAAAACTTGTTCCCTGTAATCTCCCACACTGTGTGCCAAGCAGGATGCTCTGTAAAGGGACAGACGTGGTTCGCAAGGGATCAAGTGATAGTGAGTCCTCTTGGACAACTTCAGAGCTGTTTTTTCGGAGGAATGCTTGAGTCTTGAAAGGTCACTCAGAGAGGCAGATTACGTACTACACAGTCCCAGCCCATGAACAGAGAGAGCGGCCTCTCCAAGGTGTTCTGTCTTCTCTGATCAGAAAAGGAGCTGGCTCTCCACTCAGCCCTTCGCTCCAAAGACTGCCATTGCGTCCACAGAGGCTGACTTACTGGTGACCCAAATGCTTCATTGTATTTTTTTGTTTTGTTTTGAAATAGCAAAATATGGAATATCAGAAACTGGTCACTTTTTGCCTAACAATTGCTGGCAAGGTCAAATGTTGCTCATTTTTAAAAAACCATAGTACTTGTGAACCTAAAAAAAAAAACCCAAAAAACTTTACCCTTTAGACCCTTCCTTAATTCTAAAGCAAAGGGAGCCTTAAGATATGCCCACACAAAAGGCTTATGTACTTTCTACTAGACTGTGTTCTGTGGTTTGAAGGCAGAACTGTGTCTTACTCACGTTTCTGTCTCAGTCCTACATAATACTTGATATAAAGTGGTGCCCAGTTGATGTTCATGGATAGATAAACAGATGGAAGTTGAGAGACAGGTATTCATATTCTTTTCAATATGGAAAAAAATGTAAGCACAGAGGAATTAGCTACCATGATCATGGTATAAAGCTTAAGTTTTAGAGTTGGCATTGAATTCAAGTCTTCTGGCTCCAAAATTCAAGCTCTGTATGCAGTGCTGGTGTGGCAGTGGCCATGGAAGCAGCCCAGCAGCAGCACTGCAGTTTACTGAACACTTACTAAATGTGACACATATATCGACTCACTTTTCAGGAAACCAAGACCCTTAGCCCATTTCCTTTGGCTTGTACCACTGGTGGTATATGCATGAAAGTCCCATTCGTGGCTTGAACCACCCAATGGGACTGTGCCGTGCCACCTGATGGGACGGTCACGTGTGTACCAGCAGTGAGTGATTCTGAGCCGCCCAGCAGCAAGATATGAATTGCGACCAGTTGTAAATGTGTTAAAGGTAAAATGACTTGATCCTTGTTCTACTTCTAGAATGTCTGCCCTTAGCTATGATCACCTTCATGTTCAGTTCATAAGGTAGCAATTTCCTTTTACAGTAATGGACTTATTTATTGATGCTTTTTAAAAAAATAGTTTTAAGGTTTTATTTTCATTAATGTAACTTCTATCTGTGGCATTTAGAAAATCGACACCTGCAGTATTTTAGATAGACTTACCACAAAGTCCTTAAGGCCGGTACTTAGCTGATAGTGACACAGCATGACAGGAAGAGGCTCACTTACTTCTGTGCCTAGTGGTCCCATGTGAAGGCTTCAGTGCCTGCAGGGCCCTGGAGTCGGTACCTCGTGTCCCTGAACACGAGTATTTCTGCTTCCAGCTTTCCACCGTGCCAGGAAGCCTGTTTCCCACAGTTCTAATAGGTTTGCCAAATTTTCCCTTTATGCTTGGTAGCCAGGGCCTCAAGATGATACTATGAGGTTGTAAAAGACTTCTCTCATTGTCCATGCTATTATTACTTCTTCCCATGCTCCTTGCTTCCTCTGAGATCTGGTCTCCATGCAACTTGGGCCTTTCTCAACGGGAGATCTGTCACTGGGTCTCTTGTGAGGTATTTCTTCCACCTGATTTTTCTGACTGCTAGTGTGGTTTTGAGTTTGCTCATTCTCTTTTTTCTGCTGGAATGTTGAATTTTCAATTAAAAACGTGTGCTTTTTAATTCCTGAAAGTCTGTTTTGTTTTGTTTTTTTTGAGTTCTGTAATTCCATTATATTTTCATTAAAATTCTTCTGTCTCTTCCATTGGTTTTACTTCAGTAAGCACCTCTGATTTCTGTTCTGCTGGCCATCTTTCCTTCCAAGTTCCATTAATGAGTTTCAACTTTCCTTGCCCACTCATGGCTGTGGTTCCCAAGCACCTGCCAGCAGCCATTGTGCACATCTGCTGAGCAGTAGCGAACTAAGTGGTAAAAGTTGTGCTGACTTCTGTTCTCATGGGCCTAGGAGACTTGAGTTTCCAGTGAGGAACTATTTTTGCCCTCTGACTTTTTCAGTCACAAGCAGTAGTTCTTTCCCCACTCTCAACATTGAAAGCCCTTTGATGGAGAGCCCCCTCCCCCGCCACGAGTTTTCTCAGCTCAGCACGTCGGGTGCAGCAAACAGCAAATGAAGTCCTTCTTGGAGGTGAGCCGTAAGTATGGTCTGCAATTGGAAAAATGTGTAGCATTTTAAAGAATGAGTTTGATCTATCTGCCGACTTGTTATTTATTCATGGTTTTTATTCTTAGGTGAAAAACAGTCAAAATTATGTGTTCAGTGTGATTCATTGTCATAATTAGAAACATCTCTCTGTGTATATAAGCCCACATATGTTAGAATGTGCCTGAAAGAAGGTATACATACCTGCGTGACTTTGTGAGAGTGACGGAAAGAGTAATAAGTCCTGTGATTTGTGCTTTTATTTTACTTCACTTATTCTGATGATATTTTATTCCCTTTTTAGCAATTTTTTTATCAGATAAACATTTTAAAGGTCAGAAATCAGGTGTGATAGGTTTTAGGGAGTGGGAGAGGAGTAGGATTGGTGAGAAGTTATCGTCCAAGAGTGAAATACTGAAATTTGATTTTCTGAGGTGGAGGAGTTTGGGACAGGAAAAAAATGTAGGAAAACCATCAGCAATGGAAGTGAAGGTCAGCAGAGGCCAAGATATTGAGTAGTGGAGAAGCTTTGGATAGCAAAGCTCTCTAGAATATGCCAGAAATTAGAGAGAAGCAGAAGAAAAAGCCTCTTAGTTAGATGTGAGCAGATGAATAGATGACTTCGATAAGGAATGAACTTTAAAAATTCTGTCCAAGGTTCTGATTGCTCTTTGAATGAAATCCAAAGTCCTCAGCATGCCCCACAAGGCCTGCATGATCTGGGGCTGCCTTCCCCCTACTCTGCTGTCCTCCCCACCGCTACCCCCTACTTGCCTTGATTCTCTGAAAATCAAGCTCATTCCTTCTTTCCTGTTTTCATGTGAGGATATTCTTTGTCTCACTCATGGCTTGACTAAGTCCTGCTCATTCTCTTGTGTGTCTTCCCATGCTTTGCCTTCGTAATTGGCGGTTACTGGTTTTTGTCGTTGTTTCCTGTTACCGTTACATTTTTACCTCTAGAAGGATTTATTGATTTTGCCTTTTATCTAACAGTGCATCTGACAGCAGACGCGTAGTGTGGATGATTGGTGATACACTGCTATTAGCTTTTGAGCTTCAAAAGAGGGGAGGAAAGGATTTGCCTGAGAAAGCTGGGGAAATGAATCTGGGAGAAAGGTGGACTTTCCCTTCTTAAGACTGCAAGTGTCCTTGATGAGGGGTGAGGTTTCCTTTCTGGCAAAGTAGAGATTCGGAGTACAGTAGACCTTGTTTGTAATCAGATGTGTGCTTCAGAGACCACAGTGGAAAATGGTAACAGATTTGGCAGGGGACCATCGGGAAGGTGGAATGGGGTCTCCAGCAGCCACTCGCTTCTAATGGTTAAGAGAAAGATCCTCCCTCCCTGTCCCTTCTTTCCTTCCTCCCTTGTCTAAGAATAAAAAACCATGTGTTGTCTTCTTTTCTTTTGATAGTACTGAATTGGGAAAGGTTCCTAAATCCCACCTTCAGGTGTATTATACCAAGTACCTAGGACTAATGAAATATATGCAAGATATGTACACTCAAAACTACAAAAAGGAATTGAGAAAACTTTAAAAAATCTAAATAAATGGAAGGATATATTATACATTCATGAATTATAAAGATGCTGTCATTTTTTCAAGTTGATATAGATGTATAAATTCAGTACACACTTAATCAAAAGCCATTTTGGGGGGTAGATATTGACCTCTGAATTTTACATTCAAATAAAAAGAACTGAGAATGACTAAAACAATCCTGGAAAAACACAAAACAAAACAAAGAAACAGACTATAAGATGTTGAAACTTACTATAGTAAAGCTACAGTGATTAAGACAGTACTAGTGGTGCAAGAATAAGACAAACAGAACAATGGAACATGAGAGAATTCAAAAGAAATCCCACCCACTTACTTCATAACATCGGGTTTATCTTACGACAAAGGTGACATGAGTACACTGGGAATGAATTGTATTTTTAATACACAGTTCCAAGTCAATCAGATATCTATGCAAAAAAAAAAAAAATCTGAGCTCCTGGCTCAAACCATACACAAAACCTATTCAAGATGGGTTGCAGAATATAACAAAGAGTAAAAAAATAAAGGTTTTATAAGAAAAAACAAGACCATTTTCAATGGCTTGGAGTAAGAAGAGATTTCTTAAAGAGGATATAAAAGGTGCTGACTATAAAGGAAAGTTATATATAAACTATATAACAAGCTGGATTCTATTGAAATCGACAACTTTGGATCATTGTGCATCACAAGAGATGAAAAGTAACCCCAAAGTAAAAATAAATGAATTTTAAATAATATATTAAATATACTTTTATATAAAAGACTAGTAACCAGAATTCATTTATATTAATTAGGACCTACCGTTTGAGTTTTAACAATGTAAATAGCTAATCAGGCTAGGCATGGTGGCTTGTGGCCTGTAATCCCAGCACTTGGGAGACTGACACAGGAGGATTGCTATGAGTTTGAGGCCAGCTTAGGCAACACAGTGAGTTCAAGGCCAGTCTGAACTACAAGGTGAGGCCCTGTGTCAAAAAACAAAAAATATTCGAATGACTAATCAAGTAAGTAGATATATAGAGAAATAAATGTTAAGGCCGGATGTGGTAATGTACACCTGTAATCCCAGCACTCAACAGGCTGAGGCAGGAGGATCGCTGTGAGTTTGAGACCAGCCTGGGCTACATAGTGAGTTCCAGGTCAGAAAAAAAAAAAAAAAAAAAAAAAAAAAAAACATAAAAAAAGCTGTTAAGTCAAATACCTGAATATTTCATTAATCCATTTGTTTATTGTTTCTCCAAGCTAAGTAATACAATACCACAATATTTAGCACCTTCAAACAAACATTTATTACCTCACCTCACAGCATGGATCAGGAGTCTGGGAGGGGCCCCCACTGGGTAGCTCTGACTGAGGGTCTTCCCATGAGGCTGCAGTCATCTGAAGAGGCGACAGAGTCTCCGCTCCAGTTTCTCATCATGCGGGTCTCTCCAGAACATGGCAGCTGGTTTTCCCAGAACAAATAATGAAAAGAAAGGGAAAAAAGAAGAGGTATGGGAGACTGTAGAATTTTAAAACCTAATCTTGGAAGTGACACATTCATATTTCTGTCACATCCTATTGGCCAAACTGACTCTGGTACAGGATGAGGGAGGAACTGCACGGTAAAAGGAGGTGGGAATCATTGTAGGCCACCTTGCAAACTGGTCACCACCATTTGGAGTATGAAGTTCACTATCATTCCTACTGTCAAATTATTTTCCTCACTCCTTAACATATGCAGCTAAAATAACTGCAATCCCAGAAAACTAGTTTTAATGAAGAAGATGGCCATGCATTTCACCCCACAATAAGTCCCAGAGCTAGTATGGTTGGTTGAGAACACCTTCAAAGTCTCGGACTCCGTGTGGCTCTTTTCTCCTCACCCTTTTCCATACTGGAAAGAGACCATGCAGCATCAGCAGCCTGTACATCTTATTCATGCAACTTGTTTGTTAAGCAAGCTAACGAATTGAGTTTTTAGACAATTCATACTCTATAATAGATGAAGACAAGACAAAGTAAGGGTGTTAATGGGGCCTACGGTAGCTGTCATGTGTCCTAAGCTCAGATTTTGGACACTTTCATTTTCCTAAGGTGGATCATGAAGCAGTCATTTACTGGAGGTATTATGAAAGAAGTACAGGACTTCTGAAATAGCAGCTTCTCATTCATTGTTTCCTGAGTGAAAATATTGTACATTAGGTGTTGAGTATCTCTTCTAGACATTCGTCTAGGCATTGTAGGAAACGATTCTGTCGTCTACATATTCATATCAATTGAGAAAAAAAGAGGTTTTCCCTATTATTACCAAAAATAGTAAAACACAATACTATTTGGTTAACTTTTAATTTCCAAGTGTACATTCCAGGCTTTGATCCGTGCATGAAACACTGAACCTGCTTATGCTTCAATGCTTTGCTTCTCCTGTCACCTGTGTGTTGTTCAGTTACCGCAGTGGTAGATCCATGAAGGCCGGTACTTTACCTGACTTGTGCAATGATCTCCATCTAACGCATAGACTTTCCCTGTACCCCGCGTCCTGCCTTACTCATAAGCGCTTTTCCTAGCATTGTTTTTCTTGTTTCAAATTTTGGCTTTATAAGATACCATTAAAAACCAGTACAAGTTTATAAAATATATTCCCTTTAGGGGGAAAAAGATATTACAAGAAACTACATTGATTTTGTGAAAGAGACAACCCCAAAACAATACCTTGAAATGCCAACATAGCATTTTTGTATTTCCAAAAAAAGCCTTCAGTTTGCCTGCCAAAATTGACTTTAAAATTGAAGCTGTTAAAAATACATGCTTAATTTAGTAGCTTTTAATTCACGAGGCTTTTTCATGGGTGGAGTTGCTAAGTGGTAAGTGGAGTTCCACCACAGAGGAGTATACTGCCCCTGTAAAAGTCAGACTTTTTACTAAGAATAAACTTGTGGGCTGCAGGATAATTAAAAAGTGCTTGGCATAATTGAAGTTCTGGTGAGGA